GTTACTCCAATCAGACTGGCTAAGGTCAAGAAAACAAATGATACCAAATGTTGGAGAGGATGTGGGGAAAGGGGAATGCTCATCCACTGCTGGTGGGACTACAAGGTTGTTCAACACCTATGGAAAGTAGTGTGGAAACCACACTGTGGAAACCACACAGTGTGGAAACCACAAATGAACCTACTATTTCACCCAGTTATACCACTCCTTGGCATATACCCAAAGAACTCTTCCTATTGGAGAGACACTTGTACATCCATATTTGTTGCTGCTCTTTTCACAATAGCTAAGAGATGGAAGCAACCTAAGTGTCCTTCAACTGACAAGTGGATAATGAAAATGTGGTTCATTTATAGGATGGAATTTTACTCAGCAGCAAAGAAAGATGAAATCATGAAATCTGCAGGTAAATGGATAGAACTAGAAACTGTTATACTAAGTGAAGTAACATAGACTAAAAAAAAATAAATAAACAGCATATGTTCTTCCTCATATGTGGATCCTAGCACCAAATTCTTATAAGTGAATATGATATCCAAACATAACTACAGGAACCAGGATAATGAAGAGGAACCAGGGACATAATGGAAAAGAAAGAAACTGAAAGAGAGGAACAGTAAAAAACAGGTGTTAATAAGGGAGATATGGATAATAATGGGGTTATCTTAAGGGGAGGGGGGAGGGAAGGTTATACAAGGAACCTAGGGGATAAAGCGAAAGAAGGAGCTCAAGAGAGTTAGGACCATAGGAGAAGGGTATTATTAAGGGAGAAATGGAAAAAAACGGGGGCACATTAAATGGGAAATCCATGGTGGAAGCGTTAGACAATGTGAGAGATAAACAATGTCTAGCTAGTTTTAGAAAACCAGAGGGAACCTTATTAGGACCACAACCTACTGACAAATTATACATACAACCATATCAAAGAATGTAATATATGCCTAGGCAAGGTTTATCTGAAAGTGTTTGGTCTTTGCCCAAGCTCTATTCTACATGGCATATAGTAATTAAAAGTACCAGACTGGTGGAACTAACCTTCTTGGATGTTTAACAGCCATATTTTGAGGCCTATATAATTTGGTCAGGGGGACATAAAGGACAGTTTTTGTTCCTTGCCCCTCTAGGTCGAATAAGTTCCAGGGGACTATGAGCATCTCTCAAAATGTCTTGTAACTGTGGTGAGTCACCTGTTCTGCTGAGCAAGGAGGCCGTGGAGACCCCACCAGATGGACCTGAACCAGTGTTCAATCTACAAAGTGGAGGGTCAACACAGAGTAAACATTTCCTTCATGCTTCCAAACGAAGCCAGCTATGGTCGAGTGGGACCTTTGACTTATCATCACACAGACAGAACTGGTAAAAGAAAGGAGCCAGGGGCTCCTCCCAAGCCCATGTTACCCCTGAGGAACAGATCCTCAAACAACCTTAAGAGTAAAAATAAATTGTTTTATCTGGCTAACTGTAGGGTCTTAAACACCCAAAAGGAAAGTATAACCAAAGATTAATTGGGTCCATATGTATAACAAAAGGCTACATAACAAGAACCCACCAGTGACACATCTGGCAGAGGTTTAGTATCCAGAATATACAAAGAACTCAAAAAACAAAGAATTGAGAAACCAAATGACCCAAGTAAAAGATGGGCTAAAGATCTAAACAGAGTTCTCAAAGAAACAAATAAAGCACTTGATTGACTGAGCCATCTCCCCAGCCCCTAAATTTTGAAAACTTTTCACACAGGCTATATGGCTACGTGGTGGAAGGAGAAAACCAACCTGCAAGGTATCCTCTGACCTCTGCGTGTGTATGAATGCTTGCACACACAGATATATACTAAATAACTGTAAAAAAAATAAGGTGGAGAAGAGATCAAGGAAAGCATCTGGGGGCTGGAATGGTGGCTCAGCAGTCAAGAGCACTTACTTCTCTTGCAGAGAACCTAGGTTCAGTTCTGAGCACGACACAACAGTTCACAAGCACCTATAACTCTAGTTCCAGGGGATCTGATACCCTCTTCTATCCTGTGCAGGCACTGCACACACGGTACACTTACATACATACATGCAAAACACTAATACACATAAAATTTAAATAAAAAAAACACATGTTGGGGTTGGAGAGATGGCTCAGTGGTTAAGAGTACTGGCTATTTTTGCAGAGGACCTGGGTTCAAGCACTCATATGGCAGCTAACAACCATCTGAAACTCCAGTTCCGGGGGATCTGATGTCCTCTTCTGACCTCTACGGGCATTGCACAACATGGGTGCACTTACATACATGCAGGCAGTACACTCACACACATAAAAGAAAAAAATAATAAAATAATATAAACATAATATTTTAACACTGAATCTCTCTGAGTAGGCAATTAGCAAGGCTCCATGAGTTATAATTTAAAGATGCCAGTTAAGCTGAGCATGGTGATTCATGCCAATCATCCTAGCATTCAGGTGGCTAAGGCAGGAAGTTGCTGTGAGTATGAGGCCTGCTTTGGCTATACGTTTCATGTAGCCTGGGCTACAGAATGAGACTATATCTCAAAACAAACAAGAAGAAAAAAACCACAATGAATGTGCTAAAATCAACTAGCAGCATGTTTAATCATTACCTATGTTCAATGTTTTCAAAATATAAGGAGCAAAATAGCATAAATCAAATTAAAGTGAAAAATCTGACATGTACTTGAGGCTCTTCACTTAAAAATTTTGACAGTAGGCCTGGTGAGATGGCTGAGTGGGTAAAGCCGCTTGCCACCAAGCCTGGTAACCTGAGTTCAATCCCTGAAACCCACATGGTAGAAGGAAAGAACTGATTCTGGCAAGTTGTCCTATGACCTCTACCTGTGTACATACACACTTATACAAATAAATAAAATGTAAGAGAAAATAATTTAAAACTTTGACAGTAGACTCAGGATTCAAATGAATGCTGTACATTTTTAAACTACTTTTAATGTACTTACTCTGGTTCAGGATTCTTTGGAGAAAGTCCCCAAACTTCAGGAGCTCCCAACTCTCCAATCCTCTCTCTTTCACTTAATCTCCTAAGAGATAAACATTTAAATTATAACTCAATGGATGAACTGTTTCCTAAATATGTAATGAAATACAAAAGGAATCAAGTGTTCAGGTCTTATTTTCTCTATATGTCTTTTTGGTTTTTGGGTCTTTTTTTGAAATAGGGTCTCCTTGCAGCCCCATCTGGCCTGTAACTCACTATGTAGACCAAGTTAGCCTCAATCTCACAGAGGTCCATCTGTCTGTGCCTCTCATGTGCTGGGACTAAAGGTGTGTGCCACCACGCCAGGTCTTCTGTTTTTGTTTGAGACAGGATCTTAAAATCCTGGGCTCAAGTGGTCTAGCCTTCCAAGTAGCTGGGGCTTCCAGCATACCTGGATTTACCTATATATTTTAAAAATTAATAAAAAAATCTTGATTTAAATATAAACTTGTGACTTAGGATTTGATGTTCTGATAGTACTATCCATGGTACAAACTGTGGAGAGCCTCAGTAGATAGGTCAGAAACAATAGCCTGGCAGACTGTCAAGTGCATCCCCTTTTTTGACTGTGTGGCATAGATTCTAACTGCCCATTTCACTGTTTGTAAAATGTGGCAGAAAATTTTATATTTGGAAATAACTTCATTTGTTGGTGCATGATTATAAGAGTAGAGTTGTCTCTCCACAGAAGGCTCTTTGGATTGGGCTAACACTACAGTTTGTAGGAGCCTAGGAGTTAGTTCCAAAAATACAGATGAAGCATTAGAAACAAAGAGTAAAGGGAATTTTGAAAAGGAAAAAAAATTATTTGACAAAAACTGTACTAAAGATATACAAGGTTTGTTACTTGTTTTCCTTTCAGGTCCTTGCTTAGAAAAGAATATGTTCTTTACTCTTTAGAAGACACTGGCTTTTTTCTTTTGTTTTATGCTTGTGGATAATTCTGATCTAATATTTACAACTATTCATAAACTTAGACAACAAAAAATAACCCTGGATAGAAGAGGTGGAAGAGGACTAGAGTTTGGTTCCTAACACCTATGTCAGGTAGCTCACAACCGCTTGTAACTCCAGCTCCAGAGGCTCTGACACCTCAGGCCTGAGACACCTGAACTGCACACAGTCATGCATACACATAATTAAAAACAATAAAAGGCAGAAGCAAAGGGGGTGTTTCCAGAGGTCAGAAGAGGGCTGGAAGAATGGCTCAGTGGTTAAGAGCACTGGCTGCTGTTGCAGAGGACCTGGGTTTGATGCCCAGTACCCGCATGGTGGCTAACTCCAGTTCCAGGGGATTCAACGCCTTCTTCTGACCTCTGCAGGTACTGCATGACACAGGTGCACTTACATTGTAGGCAATACAAAAATAAAAATAAAGTATTTTAAAAAGCAATAAAAACCAATCTGTGAAAAAAACCCTAATTCTTCACAGCATCACTGCTTGTGACTCCCACTTATTTTTTAACCATTACAAAAGAAATACAACTGGTTTGATTTTTAAACTTTTTTAAAAAAAATTTTACGTGTATGAGTGTATTGCTTGCATGTGTGTAAGTGCACCTGTGTTGTGTAGTGCCTGTTGTCCTGGCTTTATCTATACAGGTAAATCATTTATCATCTAAATATACAAATTCAGATTTCATCAAAGTAGTTCTAACATCCCTTGGTGAGAAAGTCTCCAGTAATAAGTCCTTCTTTTTTCTTTGGACACAGGGTCTCATGTAGCCAAGTCTGGCCTTCAACCCCTGACGGTTCTTTCCCTCCCAAGTGCTGGGATTACAAACATGAGCTACTATCCCTGGCTCACTACTTGGTGTTTTAATAACATACTCTGTGGATAACTTGCTAATTGGATAGGTAGGTCTTTATTCAGATGTGCTTTTTACTGTTTCTATTTGCATGCACTTAGAGAATATTTATTTGTTCCAGGCACTAAATTATTACAGCCTTAAGAGCCTTGTTACTAATTTTATCCTCTCTTTTCTGGGGGTGGTGATCCAACTCAGGGCCTCAAGTTTGCTAGGCAAGCACTCTACCACTGAGTTCCATTTCCAGCCTGTATTCTTCTGCAATGGTGAAGAAGTGAAGCTCAGAGAGGCCAACTAACTTGCCCAAGGCTATCCTGTTAAATGGCAAACAAGGGCTTTCAAACTCAGCCAGTGTGATTCTGAAAAACTGTTCTTTTTATCACTCTGCTTTATTACCTCCCAGTGGTGATAGAACAATCATCATGAAAATATCTCTCAACTGTTGGAATGTTAATTTGTCTCCTCAATGTAATACTTTAAAACTTCTCATTTTTAAACACATGGTACATGGCTTAGTACAGTGCCCAAGATGTACTGTGACAATAAACATTAGATAATAGGATTCACACAGCAATATAAGCCTCTTTATTCCTCTCTCTTTCTCTCTCTCCCTCCCTCCCTTCCTCCCTCTCTCTCTATTCCAGGCTGATATGGAATTTATTCTGTAACCCAGACTTGCCTCCAACTAATTGTGATAATCCTATTCAGCTTTCTGAGTGTTAATGCTCAGCCTTTTTTAACTTAATTTTGAGATAGGATCTCATGTAGCCCAGGCTGGCCTTGAACTTGCTAGGTAGCCAAGAATGGCATCGAACTGACTTCCCTTGTGAGCCTCATGAATGCTGGGATTAAGGTATGTATGTACTACATATTCTCATTAAAGCTGATGTGATCTCATTCCAGCATTATTTTTCATGATCAAGACTGAGACCACCTTACAAGATCCTTCCCAAGGTAACATCATTAACGGCTTGGTAGATCACTTTTCTTACATTCACCTAATCATCTGTAGAGGAAGGTTTTCCTCTTCTCCAACAGAAAATCTTAATTTCAATCCTTCCCAATTCCCTGCAAATCTTTTCCACTGACATATTCTGCTTTCTCAAACTTATCTGTTCAAACTTGGTAGACGGTTGCATGCCTACCAACTGGTAGGGGTTAATTCCGTGATCAATAAAACGGGACCTCTCCTTTCCATAAATTCAGTTTAGTGAGGATTAAAGTCAGGCTCACGCATTATGACACAACCAAGGAAAAGCTATAGAGCTGAGGCTCTCTACGTGCTATATGCTAAAGAAGCCCAGAGAGGGAAGCAGGTTAGTGGGAAACCAGGGCACTTTATGAAGGGGTCCGGGAAGGGTGAAAATGTAAAGAAAATGATAGATTAAAAGTGAAGAAAGAGGCCGGCTGTGGTAGTGCACGCCTTTAATCCCAGCACTCGGGAGGCAGAGGCAGGCGGATCTCTGTGAGTTCAAGGCCAGCCTGGTCTACATAGTGAGTTCCAGGACAGCTGGAGCTACAGGGAGACCCTGTCTCAAAAAGACAAAAAAATGAATAAAGGAATGAGGGGTGCAAGGTAGGCAACGGACCAAACATGAGCAGAAGGAATGACAAACAAGACTCAAAGACTGGTATAAAAGAAGGTAAGGAGCTCTCACTCACTTCTGCCGCAGACTCTCCTCCCTCTCCTTGTCCAGCAGGCTAGGCCATGGCTTGTCGCCCCCATAGGGGCGCGAGTAGCCGCCATAATAGGCGGACGAGGAGGCAGAAGTAAACGGGGTGCTCCGCTGCGTCGAGGGCCGCTCTCTAGAGCGTGATCGAGAGCGCGAGCGGTAGGACTGGTTTCGGGAGCCTTGGCTGAGGCTACTCGGCTGATGGCATAGGCCGTTCCGGTCACCAGACCGAGACCAAGAGCGCGATCTAGACCTACGACCCCGCGGGGAACGGGAAGACTTGCTGGGCTTGGGGCTCTTTGACGAGCTGCGGCGTTTCCCCCCGGAGGCCCCCGCTTCAGGGCTACGCGCACCTGACACCGGAGCCATGCTGGGAGCTGTGCCCCGGGACGCGAGGGACCAGGGGGCGCTCTCGCAACCCTGGAAGGGCCTCGGTTGCCTAAGCTTCCAGAAGCCGCCGCCGCAGCCGCCGCGTAACCTATCAAATCTGAAAAAAACTTGTTCCGGGTATGTTGGTAAATTCCTTTCCCCGACCTAGGTGCTCCGGCGGACAAGACGGGATGTGTGTATCAGTATATAGAAGCCGGCCAGGAAACCTGGTGCACGCGTCCATCTGGTTCCTAGTGAGGTTCCTCAAGTGTAAGCTGCATAGCAGATGAATTCCTTAGTCTGGTAACTGGAAAATTGATGATTAATACAGGAAGTTTCATTGAGTGTGAAAAATACCATCTATTCTGCACGTGTTTCGTGTGCTTTCTGTGTGCAGTTATGCTTGCATGTATGATATATATGTATGAATGTACGTGCGATATGACTTTTTTTTTCCTTTGAAATTCCAAGCACACTAAAGACATTTTAGCACAATTAGGGGTGAGTTATGATCTAAGACCTGTGCTGTCCAGTTAGCTTAGAGGGCATGAATTCTGTTAATCACTTGAATCTGATATGCTCTGATTAAATTCGCAGTCCAGAGAAAAACTTTATTTATCTAACCCAGCCACCTGTCCCCACCAGAGTGTTCACAGAAAAAGAGTATGTGCAGACCCTTGAAGTCTTCTCTTATATGCTAGCTCAGCAATATGTGGTTAGTGATCCGTAATTGCATTCACTTAATATTGTTTTTTCTTTGTTTTGTTTTCGAGACAGCGTCTCCCTGTAGCCCAGGTTGACCTCAGTCTCACAGAGATTCGCCTGCCTCTGCCTCCTGGGTGCTGGGATTAAAGGCATGCGCCACCACGCCCGGCCTTGCAAAATATTATTTTTTGTAAAAAATTAAAAAGAATGCTAAAGAAATCCAAATCAGGCCGGGCATGGTGGCACACACCTTTATTCCCAACACCAGGGAGGCAGAGGCAGGCATAGCTCCATGAGTTCAAGGCCAGCCTGGTCTACAAAGTGAGTTCCAGGCCAACTAGGGCTATAGGGAGACCCTGTCTCAAAAAGACCAATTTTTTTTTTCATTTTTCTAATTGAATTTTTGTGAATTTCATGCAATACATTTTGATCATATTTAGATCCCCTCCCCTTTTTACACCCCAATTAACTATCCCCCACCTAATTTCCTGTACTCAGAGTCATGCCTTATAGAGTCAGATTTGCATCCCCAGTTGCCCTTCGGTTTGGGTTCATCCAGTGGAGCCGGGCCAACTTACTAAGTCTTACCCTTCAAGGAGACTGACTCTCCCCTCCCAGAGGTTATGAGTTGAGATATGAGTGCTGGAAACCAAACTCGGATCCTCTGCGAGAGCAACCAGTGCTCTTAACTGCTGATCCATCACTCCATCTATTAAAACGATTAAACACACACACACACACACACACACACACACACACACACACAAGAAAACGGGATGGTTGGACTGAAGAGATGGCTCAGTGGTTAAGAGCACTGACTGTTTCAGAAAATGTGGGTTTGAATCCCAGCGCCCGTATGGCAGCTAACAACTGTTGGTAACTCGAGTTCTAGGGAATCCAGTGCCGTCTTCTGTGCTCCGGGGCATTGCACCACACGGGTGCACTTACACCCATGCAGGCATATCACTCATACACATAAAATAAAAATAAATAAAAATTAAAGTGCATCTTTAAAAAAATAAAGAATAAAAAATTTAAAGGGGTGTTGAGAAATATTGGTGATAAGGTGCCTGTTGCCAAGTCTGAAGATTGGGTCTGATCCCTGGTAGGAGAGGGCAAACTCTTGTGGGTTGTCCTTTCCACTCCTTGCTGGTACAATCACAAACCAGCCAACACACACACACACACACACACACACACACACACACACACACACACACTCACACTCACATCCAGATGGAACAGCAGGCAAAGGCACGTGCTGCCAAGCCTGAAGATATGTGTTTGCCTCTGTGACCCACGAGGTGGAAGGCGCCCACGTCCCTGTGCCTCCCCCTTTGCCCACATACCTAGATTGTAAAAAACAAACAAACAAACAAACAAAAAAACTTGTGAAATGTTTCAGTGGGTATAGGTTCCTGTTGCCAAGCCTGAGGATCTGTTTCACCTCTGTGAATCATGTGGTATGAGAGCCCCAACTCTTTGTGGGGTGTCCTCCGATCTCCTTGCCCATGGAAACACACACTAAAATAGATGTTTTTGGTTTTTTAAAAGGATTTTTTTTTGAAAGGGCCCACGAGATCGATCAGCAGGTAAAGTTTCCTGATACCAAGTCTGAACATCTGTGTTTGATTCTTGGGACCCAAGTGGTGGAAAGAGAGATCCCACTCTGGCTGGGTGTCATCTAATATTCTTTCACAAGGGTCCCGTCCCCCAGCCTTACAAAATAAATAAATAAATAAATAAATAAATAAATAAATAATAAAATAAGTCAAATAAGTAAATAAAATAAGTAAATAAAACACTGCAATGCCCCACGTCATAGAAATTCTAGAAGGCCTTCATCCTACACCTCCCCAAATTCTTTGAGGGCCCGTCATTAGCCCGTCCATGTGGGCTGCTCATGTCATACAATGCCCATGAAGGTCAGAAGAGGGTGTGGGATTCCCTGGAACTGGGGAAGTTCTCAGCCACCATGTGGGAATCCAACCTATGTCCTCTGCAAGAGCAGCCACTGCTCTTAACTGCTGAGCCATTGCTCCAGCCCTGAGTTCCATTTTTATAAACCACATTGTGGAAGGACAGTGCCAACTCTAACCAGGTATCTTCTAAAGTCTTATTGAACACAAATACATAGAGCACAAACACATAATAAATATTTGATAACATGGATTCAAAAGCAGGGGACTGAGAAGGATTAAATAATACAGGTGATGGCAGCAAATTCTGACAATTTAAGTTCAATCCCTGTGGAAGGAACCAACTACTGCTGTGGGTCCTCTAAGCTCCTCAGTTATGCATGATACCCACCCACCTCTGAACTATGCACACAAAATACATTAAAATGTTTATGTGTTTAAGGGGCTAGAGAGATGGCTCAGTGGTTAATAGCACTGGCTGCTCTTGCAGAGGACTCGGGTTCAGTTCCCAGCACCCACATGGCAAATAACAGCTGTCTGTCACTCCGGTTCCAGGGAATCTATTGCTTTCTTCTGATCTCTGCAGACACTGCATGACATGGGTGCACCTACATACATGCAGGCAAAAAATACAAATAAAATAAAAATAATAAATAAAACGTTTTAAAAACACAGATGCAAGCAATGCATTATATACATAAAATAAAACTAATAAAATATTTTTTAAAACCACAAAAAAACCCCAAACAAACAAAAAGCAAGCAAACAAACAAAAATGCAAACTGAAGCCTGCCAGACCACTTAAGTGGCTTGGATCCTGATCCCTTTATTCAAGCCTTCAGAAGAGACTACCCCAGCAGACACCTGACTGCAAATCTACAACAGAGCTGGAATCAGAAATTCTCAGTAATCGACACCTGGATTTATGACCTCCACAAACGGAAAGAGAATAAATTGTTTGCTGATTTAAAAAAATGGTAAAATAAGTTTTTGCTGGGTGTAGTGGTTTACCTCTAATCCCAGCACTGGGGAGGCAGAGGCGGGAGGATCTCTGTGAAATAGAGGCTAGCCTGACTTACACAGTGAATTCCAGGCTAGCTGGGGCAGGACTACAGGGAGACTATTTCAAAAAGAAACAAACAAACAAACAAAAAAACCCAGAAACAAAACAAAAAAAACCTCCCAAAAAAACAAAATACTCCCAGAATATTTTAAAAGAGAGGGATATTGAGGCAGCTCTGTGGGTGAAGGTGCTTGCTGACAAGTCTGACAATGTGAGTATGATTCTGAGACCCACATGGTGGAAGGAGCTGACTCTGGTATGGTGTCCTTTAACCTCCTCATGCCTGAAAAGACACAACATATGCACTTGTACACACACACATGCAGAGAGAGAGAGAGAGAGAGAGAGAGAGAGAGAGAGAGAGAGAGAGAAGAGAGACTATACAAATACATGAAAATTAAATACATATATTTTGAGACAAGGTCTCACTATATAGCCCCAGCTCCCAGCTGGCCTGGAACTCACTATGTAGACCAGGTGGCCCGGAACCCACAGAGATCTATCTGCCTCTGCCTCCTGAGAGCTGGGATTAAAGGTGTGGGCCACCATGCCTGGCCAAAAATTTATTTATTTTTGAAGACTTTAAAAAAAAAGAGTGGAAGCATGTTGGCTTATGCCTTTAATCCCAGCACTCTGGAGGCAGTGGCAGATGAATCACCGAGTCTGAGGCTTGCCTGGTCTACATAGCAAGTTCCAGGCCAGGAGATTGTATCTCAAAAACAAACAAAGAAATAACAATCAAATACCCTGTACCCCCTCCCCCTGAAAAAAAAGAGGGTGGAGAGATGTTTCAGAGGGTAAAGGCCCCTACCTCCTTTCAGGTTGTACTGTAATCTTTCTGGAGAAAACATACATGGGCACACACTCAAAATAAGTAAAAATTAAAAAATATATATATTTAAAAATGGGAGCAAGATGTATACATTGGGTAAAGGGGATTGTTGCCAAGTCTGACGATTTGCATTCAATCCCCAGGAACCAGGTGATGGAAGGAGAGAGCCCACTCCTTCTGGTCAGTGCTTACCAAAATACACACACACACACACACACACACACACACACACACGCACAGACACATACAAACATACACAAACACACACAAACACACATATGATCATGCATGTGCACTAAATAAATAAATAAAGTTTTAGGGGTTGGAGAGATGGCTCAGTGGCTAAGGGCACTGGCTGCTCTTGCAGCCGACCCAGGTTCGAGTCCCAGCACTCACATGGCAGCTAACAATTGTCCGAAACTCCAGTTCCAGGGGATCCGATGCCCTCTTCTGATCTCTGAGGGCATTGCACTACACGGATGCATCTACACACATGCAGGCAATATACTCATCCTGGTAAAATAAAAATATTAAAAAATAAAATAAATAACATTTAAGAAAAAAAGGTTTTAAAAATGTGATTTAATAAAATTTAATAAAAAGTGAGGTGGCTCGGTGGGTAAAGGTGCCTGCTGCCAAGTCTATGGATGTGAGT